AGGAAAATACTGTTAAAGAATGAACTGTTTAATACTGTTTATTTGCAGATTTTTACTGTGAATTGTAAATAATACACCTCGCTATAGATTAATTTCCTTCTACCAAAATGGACACAATATATTTATTTTCTAAACCTAGTGATTTGATAAATGATTCCTTGCATGTCAGGTTATAAAACACTATGTTTTAAAATAATAAATGAACAGTGCCTTTGAAATACATTTTAAACAGAGAAGTGAAAAAAAAATTCTGTTATAGTTTCAAAACTGAATAAACAACCTGTCCTCTGAGGGAAACTTGTTCCCTGGACCTGCACCTCCCTCTGATTTCTCCTTCCAGACTGAAACTGCCACAAGGATTCTGTAAAGGGAAAAAACAACATTAGAACAAAAGCAGCTCCAGCTGAACAGTGAACATTATCATATGGACAATCCTTTCTGAATATTCTCCATATACAAAGAAGTAAAGTAAAAGTATGAAGTAGAACTAGTATGAATAAAAATAAGTCCTTGTAGTACATGAATTCAGGATGTATGGCAGCAGCTTTATGTGTTAAAACAGTAAAAAACAAAAAACATGCACCAGGTCCATTCTGACAGTCTCACTAAAGTTACCTTTTATACATTTTCAAATACTGTATATTATACTATTTATACTATGGCCATATTGCCTAGTAGGCCCAGCTAATCATCATTTCTAATTCAATATTTAATCAATACTCAGTGTCAGTTGAAGCTGAAACAAATATAAAGTGACTGTTGATGTTAGCTAACCTTACCATTACCACCAGGCAAGTAAGTCAAGTTCATTATAGCCCACTTAGTTAACCACATTACAAGAAAATGTTTTGTTAGGGTTAGGGTTATATATAAATACATATAATTACTCATTCATAATGTTGGTGTACTATCTTCATATCATGTGGAATATTTTAAATCTTTACATGTTTCGTCCACATGTTGATCTCTACTGTATGCTTGGAGTTCAAACCAAATGTAGACACAGTTTCTCCAAACAGATACAAAGAATTTAATCAACTGTATTGAATAAAAACAGAAGTAGTGTTTTGCAAAGTCTGCAAACATTAGTACCAAGGAAAACAGTTTTAATTATGTAGGTTGAAACTGAATTTTCATCTCTTCCAGTAGATAACAGTATCAATGCTGATAAATATGAATGTTCCCCCGTGATGGTGGTAAATAGAGGAAGTAGTTTTTGTACAACTCTCCTGCTCTTGTCTCTCACTGTGTCTCTCTGGCACAGTAATACACTGCAGTGTCTGCAGTCTGCAGACTGTTCATCTGAAGATAGAGTTTACTGCTGGAGTCATCTCTGGAGATGGTGAATCTGCCCCGGACTGACGAGGAGTAAGAGATATAAGAACTAGATGTGCTTATATAAGCGATCCACTCCAGTCCTTTTCCAGGAGCCTGTCTGACCCAAGCCATCCAGGAGCTGCTGAATGTGAATCCAGAGGCTGAACAGGTCAGTCTGTGGGATTCTCCAGGCCTTTTAACCACTGCTTCAGATTCTGTCAGAGTCTGACCATCAACACCTGAAGAGGCAGAAAAGAAAACCATCATATGTGACACTTTCAGAAGACTTTTTAGAGTAAAGATGAGTGATGATCATCACCTGCCCAGCAGACAGTAAAAAGCAGCAGTCCTGTCCTATAGTCCATCATGTTCAACTGTGTGTCCACTGTTCTCTGTCGTCCTCTCTGCTCTCACATAAGTAGAGGAGGAACACATCAGAGATTTGCATTGACTCCTCCTCACAGTTAGAAGTAAATCATTAGTGTCCATTCAAGATGGCAAACTTTGGGGTTTTTATATTTCCATTTGGACAGCTTGCATTTCTGCAATAACACAAAGCAAATTAAAAACACACAGCTCCTTTATCCAACATGCTGGGAACATAACAGCTGTGCCCACGTGTACTAAGAACTTACATCTATCAGGAAGTTGCTCCCCATGATGTTCTTCAGATTATATCTTTCACCAAGCTTTTATAAAAGTGTTTCTCTACATTACTGAGTTGCTTATTGAAAACATAATTTATGAAAGTTTGAATTACAAAAATCGGATATAGGACATTGAAGTCTTCTGGTTCAGTTATGAGTTATTTTGTTTAAAAATCAGAAGAGTAATTCCATGATTCTCATTGGTGGTCTGAGGGCTCCTCCTCTGGTTGCATGTGTCCACTGCGAGATAAACTGTGTGTTTACATCAGTGATGCTCTGTTGTAGTCATTGTTCAAGGGACTTGTTTCCAACATGTTTAGTTTCTCATGTTGAGATGTCAGCAATATCTTCACGTTATTCTTGGTGCATCTTCTCTGTTCTGCTGCAAATCCAGAAACAGAACCACAGAGTTATTGTTTCTGGAGATAAACATCTTTTAGGGTTAATCCAATAAACTGCACTTGTATTGTTTGAGTTTAAAGTGTTTTGTTCTCGATCAAAACATTTGTATTGTGGAATCTTATATTCTTTATACTTTTATGTTTGCTCATTAACTGATCCAATGCATTACACATAGCATTACACATATCACGTATACATGCACCGTGTCCTTATATGACCACTGCAACACACGAACCTTGCACGATACTCACCTCACCACAGGAGTTTTATCTCACGTACACAGACTCAACAACAGCTCCTTATAAGGACTATTTTTTTTAAAACTCTCAAGGACAAGTTACTGCTACTTTCACATATTTATACACTGACCACAAGGTACTGACACAGATAAAGCTGCACCTTTTTCTTTGATCCTCCTCTGTAAGTTTCGATCACACTGTATGCTCAAGTATATAAAGATTGTACGCCCCAAGAGCGGGCAGAGAACTTACTTTGTGTATCCTGTACGCATAGCTGAACTTCTCTCCATGCTGCATGTAATAAACTGGGTGACTTAGCAACTCAACAGTTTCTGAAAGTCTCTTTTATTTGCTCTCGTCCCAAGGTTCGGAGGGTTTCCTCTTTCTGCTGATTTTCTGCAGGCCCAGTTCTACCACAGTATGTATGCAATCATTTGCTACATCAATTAGAATCAGAAATACTCTATTAATCCCTGGGGAAATATTTAGACATCACAGTTAGTCTTATACACAATATAGCAGTAGCAAATATTGGAATTATACAGCAGCCATGGGCTTGAATCCAACCTTTGCCCTTTGCTGCATGTCATCCTCCACTCTCTCAACCCAATGCATTTTAAGAGAAATGGAATAACCAGTCAGTCAACTGAGATCATGTAATGTTTATCTCAATCATTATGGCAAACAAGTGACACCAGAGTTCAGGTTTGAAGGGATTATTTTAAAAAGGGGAACTTGTTTTTGTACGACTCTCCTGTTATTGTCTCTCACTGTGTCTCTCTCACACAGTAAAACAAAGCAGTGTCTTCAGGCTGCATATTCTGTCCTGTTAGAGTCACTGTTGCAGCAGACGTGTCTCTGCTGTAGCTGAACTTGATCTTCAGAGCATTATTTTGACGAAAGTCCACTTGTACCCCACTGATGAGAGATCCAGTCCATCGGTTTCCCTTCACGCTGTCTGATCCAACCTGTTGCATAGCTGTTATCAGTCAGAGAGTAACCAGAGACCTGACAGGTGAGGGTCAGAGACTGTCCAGGCTGCACAACCATTGAGCCTGGTGTGATGAGATCAATACAGTGCACACCTGTGGAAACACAAATCATCATTATCTCCATCACTCATCTGATTATTCTCTGTGTCTGATGTGATCATTAGTTATAAAGCTTCCTACATGATTCAGCGGCCAGCAGTAGAATCAGAGCTACAGAGAACATTTTTTCACTTGAAGTGATCTGATGGAGCTTCTGTTCTTCTCTGACTCACAGCCTGATGTCGAGTCTTTATATCAGACTGTGAGGAAGTTCAATTTCCATATAAGGACACAGGGAGGCTATAAAAGAAGGTTCACCTATGTAGTGCTCAGGAAGTGAACTGGCACCTCTCAAGCTACCAGAACAATTTCAGACATGACCTTAACCTGTGACCCTCAGAATCCCAGTCCAAGTCCCACAATCTCAGCTACTGCCCCCCCCCCCCCCATTACTTTATTATTATAAATGATCAAATTATGTAATTTGTGTTTGAGATCCCAGAAATGTATTATAAATAAACTTTGTTATATTTATTTCACTTTTACTTTAAGCAATATAACTACATGAATCTATAAATGAGTATTTTTTACTCTTCAACAGTGAATGGTGTTAAGATCATTATTGGTGTGAGGGCTCCTCCTCTGGTGGCTTCATGTTACTGGTTTTCAGGCTCTGAAGGGTTTTTGTTCAGCTCTACTGATGGATTGTGTCACTGTGGGTCTCTGGCACAGTAATACACTGCAGTGTCTTCAGTCTTCAGACTGTTCATCTGCAGATACAGCTGCTGTCTGCTGTTGTCTCTGGAGATGGTGAACCGGCTTCTGACTGAATTAGAGTAGTATTGGCCACCGCTATTGATATGAGCGAGCCACTCCAGTCCTTTTCCAGGAGCCTGTCTGACCCAGCTCATAGCGAAGCTACTGAATGTGAATCCAGAGGCTGAACAGGTCAGTCTGTGGGATTCTCCAGGCCTTTTAACCACTGCTTCAGATTCTGTCAGAGTCTGAGCTTTAACACCTGTAAAGACATTTAAAAAGACAATTGAACATAGTTGGAAAACAACAAGAGAAAACTAAGACTTTGATGATCATCACCTGCCCAGCAGACAGTAAAAAGCAACAGTCCTGTCCTATAGTCCATCATGTTCAACTGTGTGTCCACTGTTCTCTGTCGTCCTCTGTGCTCTCACATAAGTAGAGGAGGAACACATCAGAGATTTACATTGACTCCTCCTCAGAGAGATAAGAAAATAATTTAATTTGGATATCATCTCTTTACTTTTCTTTGGTTTAAATTTTCAACGCAATTGACCTTTTTATTTGCTAATCTTTTCTTTTTTTCGGTATATCAACTCAGGCAGCCATCAGAAGAACACGAAGCAGAAAAACACACAGCTCCACTTTTTGACAGTTATTGAACATACAGTAACATCTGTGATCACATGTACCAAAAATATTCACATCTAACAGGAAGTTAATCCCCATCATGTTCTTTGATGGTGTCTTCTGTTCTCAACATTCATGGAGATTTTGTCACATGGGCTCAGGGTATCAGAGAACAACAGTGGTATTAAAATCTCATTTTCTAAAAGTCTGATTGAATAAGATCACCATAGAGGAAGCTAAAGACCTCTGGTTCAGTTACTAATGTGAATGTGATCCTGATAATTCTGAGTTATTCTGTTGAATACAAAGGTATTTTCATAATGTCTTACAGCTGTTTTTCTCCTTACTGTAAAAGTGAACTGGTGTTTAATATATATAAAAATAATTATAATACATTTAATTTATTTGATGTACAGAGTCGCATTTAAAGAAAAACACTTTTAAACAATGGTACAAAAGAAACATTAGCAATCTAAAGCAGTGTTTGTAATGTTTCTATCAGTGATTTGAATTGTGGCAGGTCCGTAAAGTCTCAGGTGTGTTTGGGGAGAGAGATCCAGAGGGAGAGGGGCAGCAATGGAAAAGGCTCTGTTCCCTGGTTCAGTGCTTGGTGTTAATCATTATTGGTGTGAGGGCTCCTCCTCTGGTGGCTTCATGTTACTGGTGTTCAGTCTCTGAGGGGTTTTTGTTCAGCTCTACTGATGGTTGTGTCACTGTGGGTCTCTGGCACAGTAATACACTGCAGTGTCTTCAGTCTTCAGACTGTTCATCTGCAGATACACCTGCTGTCTGCTGTTGTCTCTGGAGATGGTGAACCGGCTTTTAACTGACTGAGAGTAGTATTTTTTGTCATTATCATTCTCAACCCAGGCGATCCACTCCAGTCCATTTCTAGGAGCCTGTCTGACCCAGTTCATATCATAGCTGCTGAATGTGAATCCAGACGCTGAACAGGTCAGTCTGTGGGATTCTCCAGGCCTTTTAACCACTGCTTCAGACTCTGTCAGAGTCTGAGCTTTAACACCTGTAAAGACATTTAAAAAAGTCAATTGAACATAGTTGGCACACAACAAGAGAAAACTAAGACTTTGATGATCATCACCTGCCCAGCAGACAGTAAAAAGCAGCAGTCCTGTCCTATAGTCCATCATGTTCAACTGTGTGTCCACTGTTCTCTGTCGTCCTCTCTGCACTCACATAAGTAGAGGAGGAACACATCAGAGTTTTGCATTGACTCCTCCTCACATGGACTGAATTAACTTGGGTCTCAGTTTTTGTCTGTTTGAACTGGAAATTAAATGTTAGATGGCTTTTCCCTTTTGAGTCTGATTTGCATGATCTGAATTAAAGTGTGCATGAGGTTGAAAAAGTCAGTATTATTGTTCTAACATGAAAGATGATCTATATTCAGTGGGGATTCAAGAGTCTGTTGGGGCCCTATAGGTAAAAAAGTATTGTTGGGCCCTCCAACCAGCGTTCATCACCATCATGTCTGCCAGTGTCCGACGCTTACTCCTCTTCCTTTTTTTCCCATTCATTTTTTCTCCCCTATATACGGATAATTCTCCTTCATTTTTCTTTATCAGCTTTCATTGACAAACTCTGGTTTCCACAGCAAAATAATGCATGCAACGTTCAGCAGGGCAACATCATATATCATAGATCATTTTCTCAAAATACTTATAAACTGTCCATGAACTATAAGGAGCAAGAGATGATTTGATCATTATCAGGAACTACTTAGAGTACACTAATCAAAGTTAGAATTAAATCAACAACCTGTGACCAATCAGAATCGAGTATAAAACCTGACTATAGTATTGATTCAATATTCAGTAAATCAATACTCAGATTTTTTTAAACTGAATTAAAGATGCTGATACAGCTGAATGTGCAGTGATGGTGGTAAACAGAGGAAGTAGTTTTTGTATGACTCTCCTGTTATTGTCTCTCACTGTGGGACTCTAGCACAGTAATACACAGCAGTGTCTTCAGGCTGCATATTCTGTCCTGTTAGAGTCACTGTTGCAGCAGACGTGTCTCTGCTGTAGCTGAACTTGATCTTCAGAGCATTATTTTGAAGAAGTCCACTTGTACCCCACTGATGAGAAATCCAGTCCATCGGTTTCCCTTCACGCTGTCTGATCCAACCTGTTGCATAGCTGTCATCAGTCAGAGAGTAACCAGAGACCTGACAGGTGAGGGTCAGAGACTGTCCAGGCTGCACGACCATTGAGCCTGGTGTGATGAGATCAATACAGTGCACACCTGTGGAAACACAAATCATCATTATCTCCATCATCATCTGATTATGAGTTGTTTCTAAACAGTTGAAAAGCTCCTTACAGGATCCAGCGCTCAGCAGCAGAATCAGAGCTGCAGAGAACATGACTGATGATGAAGCTGAACTGATGTGGGCTGGTCTGTCCTCTCACTGATGCTCATACACACATGACTTATTTATATGGCAACACATGGAGGCCAATTTACATTCAGAGGGTTGTAGATCAGCTGACTTAGTTTCTAAAAACTCTAAATGATGGGGACGTGTTGTGGTGTTTCCTTTCCCTGTTTCCCTTGTCGAAAGAAAAGGTGGAACTTCAGTTATTTTAACATAATTTGAATCATGTCGTAATAACCATTTTATGTAAATTAGGAAACAACTTTATTAAGTTAGCTGATGAACAAGGTTTCTGGTGGTGATGTACATACAGTATGATTCTAACAATAGTGTTATGGTTGGTCTTTTTCTAGTTTGGTTTTTCAGTGTTTAGTGTTTCATGAGTTAGTTTGTAGTTGTCCTCTGTTGTATTCCTGTCTGTGTGATTGCCCTGATTGTCCTCACGTGTGTCTTGTTAGTCTCACCTGTGTCTGATTCCCCTGTGTATTTAGTCTCTGTGTTTTTGCCCTTCCGTGTCAGTTCATTGTTGCATGTTGTGGTATGTAGTCTGTATGTCGTTCCTTGTCTGTCAGTTTTTGCTCGTGCTCCTCTGTGGCTACCTGTTTTTGATCCCCGTGTTTTTTGTTGAATCTTGGAAGTAGTTTTGTTTGCCTTTTTGTTTATTAAAGACTTTCAGTCTTTCTGCACTTGGGTCCACCTCTATTCGTTGTTTCACACAGCGAACCGTAACAAATAGTCAGTTTTGTATATAATTGTATTTAAAAGGTCTTTTAAATTTGAACAAGGAAAATTACAGAATGAGTACCTGACACATTTTTATTTAAGTTTTAATACTGATAATGTGGGATAGTGTGATTGATGTTATTTTCACTGTTGCAAATATGATTGTAACATAAAGTAATGAAACAAAGTCTGCACAACAAGGAGGAACTCTGAACCAAGATCAAAGAAGAATTATGTTGCTCAGTAAAATCTGCACAAACGAGACAATAAGAAACCATCTTATCCTCATATCACCAAAACCTGTGTTGCAAGAAAGACAAAGTCTCTGAGCTCTGGTGCTGATTACACACATTTAAATCAGTCACTTTGCATACATGTAAGGCACATTTGGTCCCTTTTGTGTAAATGAGCACATCAATCAAAATATTTACGTCAAATTAGAGGATATATTTTATTATATATTAAAGGGATTGCAACTTTGATTTATTCTTAAACTCTGTTTTGAAATGAAATTGATAATATTATGTAAAAGTACAAGACTAGTGATACAAATATACAGACAACAAACACTGAACAAAATTATTGTTCAGTGATTGTTGTCAAAAGAGGAAGTAGTTTTTGTATGGTTCTCCTGTTATTGTCTCTCACTGTGGCTCTCTGGCACAGTAATACACTGCAGTGTCTGCAGGCTGCATATTCAGTCCGTTCAGAGTCGCTGTGTTGCTGGAAGAGTCAAAGTTGATACTGAACTGGTTCTTCAGTGAATCTTTGGTATATGTGCTATATCCCACACGACTATAAATCCACTCCAGTCCTTTCCCTGCAGGCTGTCTGATCCAGGCTGTAGTAGCTGCTAACAGAATAAGAGACCTGACAGGTGATGGTCAGACTCTGACCTGGCTGCACAGTCACAGAGGCTGGCTGTGTCAACTGTTGACACTTCACACCTGTTAAAAAGAGAACATGTTTAGTTAGAAATGATCAAGTTAAACTGCAGAAGAAGAACTGTTGACTTTGACAGATGCAGACAGACTCACATCCAGCTGCCAGCAGCAGCAGCAGCAGAGCTACAGAAAACATGGTTGATGTTGAAAGTGACGTGCTGTGAACTCCACTGACGGCCTGATGGGAAGTTTTTATAGCTGAGTAAGAAGGAAGCTCACTGATTTGCATACAATCAAACATATGAAGCATCAATGATGGTCTGACTGGAGCCAATAGGAGAGTCTGTTCACTGTTTTTATATCTGCAGAGTGAAAAGATGACTGGAAATCATCTCTGCTTTACATTTGCATTGACTCCTGCTATTTCAGGTAAAATGAGTCTGTATTTTTGGTTGATGGATGTGTGGTCAAGTCATATTCATCATTTATTTTCTGTGTTGTAACTGCAGCATGGTCTGGCAATATTCTGTAGAAAAACCTGATGTTGAATATGATCATTTCCTCATCCTTCTTTGTCCTGACATTCAGAAAATCTCAATTCCATTCAGAGGTGTGAGAATTCAGACCTCAATGCTAAATTATTTCTGAGTACATTTTGTTTTCTGTGTTAAATGTGTCCAAAATTGACGCATGTGGAAAAAAAACAAGATTGTAGTTGTGTCAATTACTTTTGCACAATGACTCTGAAACTTTCATCTGTTATTATTTCTCTCGGAACAGGTTCAATTTTCTGAGTTTTTTCACATCCATCCCTGTGTGTGTGTGTGTGTGTGTGTGTGTGCGTGCGTGTGTGTGCGTGTGTGCGTGTGTGTGTGTGTGTGTGCGCGCGTGTGTGCGCGTGCGTGCGTGTGTGTGTGTGTGTGTGTGTGTGTGTGTGTGTGTGTAGTGAACCTCCTTTAAACATGCTGTCAGCCGATGCTCAGGAATCATTGCGTCTGCTGTTCCAGTAAACTGAAATACACCTGTAAGCTAACTGGATAATTCTGCAGCTTCTTTATCAAAATTTGTGATATTCTGTTAGTCCAACCATTTTGTTTTCTTTTGTTCTGTGTTCACTTCCTGTTTTATGTTGTTATCTGCTGCTTGTGAATAATATGTAGCCCATCTTCCTGCAATTGTTTGGTTTCCCTCCTTTTGTCCCAACACACCTGTGTCTCACCTGCAATAAGTCTGCCCTGTATATTCACCCCTGTGTTTCTACCAGCCCTCTGACAGATTGTCATCGTCTCCTGAGTGTGTTCATGCTTTCCAGCCTTATTTTCCCTGTTTGCTTTTCCCGGTTTTGAACTTTCTTTGGATTTTGTGGATTTGCCCTCGTTGGATTTTTCTTCCCTCGCTGACTGCCTCTCTGTGTTTGACCTACAAACATTTGAGTAGAGAACTTTTTCTTACGATCAGTTTTTTGTGTCCTGGACTTTCCTCTGCATCTGAGTGTGTTTAAGAATTGTTAAACAAAATGTCCATTATCATGAACTCACAGACAACTTGGAGAAGAAACTGTCAAAGTTAGAAATTATTTGACACTCTGTGGCCAATCACAGTCCAGTAATACCTCCGGACCATGATGTAGGAGTCTGATATTGAGTAAATCACATTTTGATTTTTGTATTTCTGACACGTATTCACAAACAATTTTTATAATTTGATGTTGAGACAGCTGAATCTTCCCAGTGATGGTTGTAAACAGAGGAAGTAGTTTTTGTACGACTCTCCTGTTATTGTCTCTCACTGTGTCTCTCTCACACAGTAATACACAGCAGTGTCTTCAGGCTGCATATTCTGCCCTGTAAGAGTCACTGTTCTAGCAGACGTGTCTCTGCTGTAGCTGAACTTGTTCTTCAGAGCATTATTTTGGTAAAAGGATCCACCACCCCACCTATGACAGATCCAGTCCATCGGTTTCCCTTTACGCTGTCTAATCCAACCTGTTGCATAGCTGTTATCAGTCAGAGAGTAACCAGAGACCTGACAGGTGAGGGTCAGAGTCTGTCCAGGCTGCACGACCATTGAGCCTGGTGTGATGAGATCAATACAGTGCACACCTGTGGAAACACAAATCATCATTATCTCCATCATCCATTTG